TAAGGGGGGGGTATATACACCTAGGAGAAACAGCAGTAAAACAGAGTGAGGCAAAAAGAAAGAGAGAGTGCTGAGACACATAGAAAGGAGGACAAAGTCTGAACGAGGGGGTGCAGGGGTCCAGCAAAACACTTACAAGAGAAGAAGAAGAAGAAGAAGGAGGCTATTGCCATGGCAACAGTGTCTCTCTTACCTACTGCATGTGTCAGAGCTGAAAATACATGCAACACAGTGTTGGCGTGCCCCCATGGTTACTGCTCGCGTCATCTGGTCTACACATGGAAACAGCAGAGAGGAAGCTGCCTCATCAACACAAACAGACACCAGAGAAGCCCTTTTTTTTATTTCTGGACCTGTTTACAGAATCATCCCCTGTTGGATGTTTTGTCTACATACACTCAGCTGTTTGCTGATTGGTGTATTTTCATGGACCCCACAACCCTGTTGATCTAACCGATCAGTTAGAGAAGAAGCAGTGTCAGCAATTGTCTTAAATGTTATGTTTTTTGTTATGTTTCTTTTGTACTGATTTGATTGGCTTTTGAATTTTGGCATGGTTGCATTTTTTTTGTGATCGTTTGGGTCTGATTGTCCACATAGAGAGAAGGGTCACAACAGATGATTCAAAATTATTAGAGTTGTCTTGATAAGAACGATATCTTTAAGTGATGCTCCTCACCAACTTATTTCCTAGACGGATAAATGGAAATTTAAATTCAGACTAAACTACAACTCTAAAGGTAGGGAAACACTCAGTAAACAGTCAAATTGAGCCCATTTTATTTAAAGTGTCTGCAGCTTGTGGCTAATGGTAGCAGTGCTAGCACATCAAGCCTTTGGTCCTTCCTGCAGCTTAACAGCCACACACCTGTGCTGAATGTGGTTATGCATTGCTTCGGTCAATATGTCAGATTTACCTGACACTGCCTACATACTGTACAACGTTATCTTCATTTTCTCTATCAAAATATTGCCAAACCAAGCTGCTCTGAAGATGCTATCCGCTCACTGTGCTTGTTTACTTCCGGTCTAAAGAGCGGGAGGAGCAGGCCCATTAAAGGGAGCTACAGTCAGTCCATGGCTTGAGCATTACATTCGACCGGCAAGATATTAGCAAATTTGCTTAAACGACTAGTAATTCTGGTGCTGACTAGCGTGGATGATGATGTTTGACCAACATGCACATCCTCAGTCTTTTACGGGATGACCATCCATTGATGGCTACTGAATGGTTTGATGAAAAGCTGTGAATCATATCGTATCGCTTGCTTGATCTCGACCAATTCAGCACCTTTGGATTGATGTGTGAGATATTGTTCGTTACCACTATCCTCTGAATACCAAATAAAGGAGTCTTTATTGGAGTCTTATTACTAGAGTTCTGAAGAGTTGTAGATCTATGTCTATCATTGAAGCTTTTCTGGTAGCTTGTGGTGTCCCAACACCTCACTGAGATACTTTTTTAATGGTATTTTATTTATTACCAGCTTTGTAGAGAAGAGTTTTCTGGCACAACTTCTCCAACTACAAAACGTTCTTCAAGAAAGAGGAAGGTTTGACGAGGTCAGAAAGCTCCAGCTACACTTGTAGTACTTTCTCACTTTGCCTTGTGGCCTTCATCAGGGTCATCATTACTCACTTTAGTATCCAGCACTGTAGAAGTTAGATAAACCAATATGTTCCTCACCAGCTAGTTTCTACATTTTTTGTGGACTTCATTTCAAATGGGCATTCAGAGGGTTTATCAAAGCCTCTTAAGTGCTTCATTATTATGCTAGTTTGGGGTTTCTCCAGAGATTAGTTTAAGAACAGAGTAAAATCATAACTTTAAGTTATACAGCACATACATTTTGCTGTATACCTTTAGATAATTTCAAAGCTTTAAAATATGTATAATTGAGATCCTGGATTCTCTGTCAATTGAATCATATGTCCAATTTATTCAAATAAAATTGCAGCCCTTGGTGTTTTATATTGTCTCACTGTGCTTGTCTTTTTCTGTATTCATTTAATTTTATTGGTTATGATTTTCAATAGTCCGATAAAACTCACCAGCTGGTTTTGAGCCTTTAGCCTTTTCCCCTTTTACTGAGTCATGTGTTGGTGTATCTGACCTGTTGGCTAGGTGATTGCCCTGCTTGCGTCGCTCTGATTGGACAACAGTCGAACATCGCAGCAACTACCGGGCAGCTGCAGCTCTTCAGCCTCCTCATCGTCACTGAGCCCCTTGTCTCCTAGCAACAGGGGCCAGGGCTCTCTTAAAGGGGACACTCGTTATTTGAGGCCATAAAATGAGGGAAAGAGTAGGAGCCGCTGCATTAGCAATTATTGATCTTCAGCAGGTGAAAAGGTGAAGGAAAGCAGAGAGGGGAGATTAATGTAAAGGTCGGGAGAGTGTCTGTGGTTTGATTACCGACACAGAGTCCAATGGGTTTGATGTGAGGCATCTGAATCTACAGAGGAGGAGGGGTCTAGAGCATCTTCTGACAGCTCATCAGATTGGAGAGTGAAATACAGGTAGTAAATGTATACGATTGATGGACAGGAACAGCAAATGGATGGATGATTGAAAAGATGGCCAGTTGGGTGGACAGCAAAAAAAAAATAATGGGCAGAAATATACATGATTTATAGAAAGATGGATGTATAACTGGACTGATGGATTGATGGTTTTGTTTGGTTGACATGGAATTCTTTTTAAAGCCCAATTATCATCAATGACATCTTTAAATACATTTTCCCCACAATATTTGGGCATGGCAAACAGTGTTTGATTCAGTTTGGGCAGCTAAAACTGACAGAATTATTGTCACTGCAGAAGGAGTCAATGTCAAGGTTTTGATGTGAAGCACATAACTCATTGATAGTGAACGTTGGCATTTTGTGTAAATCATTTCTCGTCCAACAGAGACATTCAGTGAATGGGCTGGAGCGTTTATAGCATTTTTTTTAGTCACTTTAACGTGGCAGGTCACACCTACCCATTCACACACTGCGGCAGAGGATGCTATGTTATGTTTTCGTCTATATAAACTCATCTCATTCACATGAATACGCTGCCATTTCATCATTTAAATTGAATGAACTTCTAACCTGTAATGGTGCATTTCCATGAAAACCAATAGACAGTAACGAAAGGGTAATGTGATATTTTTGGAAGTTTACTTGACAGCACCCAGATGTTTGAAACAGCAAATCCTGGCTATATTATAAAAGGGATCAGATTTTTTTTTCTCTCCCAGAATTGAGCTAAAAACTGGACTTTCAAGGATGTTGGACTATGAAGGCAGCAACACAAAAATGTCCTATTGTAGTCCCAATTCAAAGGGATTCTGGCTTTTAAGCAAATTATACCAGCAACCCCCTCTCAGATGCACACAAGCCTCTTTCTTTTCAAGTGAGAGACCTCTGGATATCTGTGATCTTTGTTACACTGCATACAAATGTGCTTGAAGGCAACAATTATGTGGTGGAATTGGATTAACCTCCTTTCTATTCACCAACGGGGAGGTGCTTCACTGTCTGCAGTTGCCCAGATGCATGTTAATACCCAATCTCTACTCCATTTAAAAAGGAAACCACCTAGAATAATCTTCATAATACAACCATTCATAATCGTACAGTCCAATATTTAAGTATTGCATGTTTGAACAAACTCAAATGCTCTGTAATGACCTATAAGCCATAAGTTTAAGGCTTCTTCCATTGACGTGAGTTCAGTTTAGATCAAAGCACTGCTGTCAAGATCTTCTCTCCTGATGTGGTTCAAATGTAGTAAATGTTTTAAGGCAGCTGGGTATTGAATGATTTCTGATTTACCGCTCTAAAAAAGGCTTTTCTTTGCCCTTTCATTCTGTAAGTTTTAAGGATTTTATAAATTTGGATTATAAGATTATGATATCGACACATAATATTGTCCAATTAATTTAGTGAACCCCTCCCATCTGTCCTTAGTTACCGTAATTAAGCAAATTTGATCAAATAAACCCCCAGCATCGGGGCAGAGACCTGAAAACAGCAGCATACTGTCTCTGCATGTGTTAATGTTGTGATTACATGCTGAGCGCAGACGGTCCTATAGACTGTAATAGGCTTAACAGCGACTCCTGTGTCCATGTCAAAGCATCAGCTGACAGGAAGGGGTGCCCATGCGTGATTGCGTGGGGGTGTGTATGTGTGTGAGAGTGTGTGTGCGTGTGTTTGTGTGTGTCGCTGAAGGCATAGTGATGCTAAGTGAAGCAGACAGAACTGTCCCAGTGCCCTCTGACTTCCTCTGTCTCTCAGATGATGTGTTTGTTTGCCACTTGCTTTGAAACTCAGAAGCAATCTGAAAGACGGTCAAAGGGAATCTGATCACACAGTAAAACAACTTCTACAATTTCTATGTCATGTCAGCCGGTTGAAGTTTTGTATTCAGGGTTTTGGAATGGGACTCTCTTTGCTGGAATGAAGAAAACACAAGAAGTGCTGCTATGCCACAGCTCTGACTTGTTGTGAATCCACGTGCAGGAATAAAACAAAAAGCAATCCTGTAATCTTTCTCTATCAATATGACATTTTCGTCTGCTGATCATATCTACAAACCTGCTACTGCAGTTTCCACGTCAAATGCATGTGATGTCGTTGGGCTAGATGTATCAATCATTGATTGAAAACAACATACACACGAAATCAGAATGAAAACCTTAGTGATAGTTCACCAGCTGTTGTCATCACAAGACTGAGTATGTGAGACTGTGCTCAGCAGAGCAGAGGGAGAATACATTCTCACACTGTTACAGATAAATGTTGCCATGTGGAGAGGCTGAAGTGGGAATATTCTCTTTAAGCAGCTCAGCGTCGGCAGTGATAGTGTTACAGGCTGGAGACAGAGCAGCTTGTAATTGGCCGGCTCAGTCTCCTCATCCCATCCACACTCTCTCTCTCCACCTCTCTCTGTGTCTGCATCTCTCCCTCTTTCTTTCACACGACTGACAGCGTGTTTCCACCAATCCCCGCAGGGCCATGTGAGGCGAGGAACCAATAGCATGTCGGGGAGGGCGGAACTTGGTGCTGTTGGCCAGCTCCAGGCGGAGATGTTGCACTTGGAACTCATCGACGGTGCTGACGGATACCGCGGTGAGAAGGAGTCCTTGAAGGCGTCTGCCATCACACCCCAGCCGCTCACCAAGGACCAGGCAGCACCTGTTACCATGGATACCTACCGGCCCAAGAGACCCACAACCCTTAACCTCATCTCGATCGTGCCGCGTACACAGGTAGAGAATAAATTAACCTTAACCACACACTCACTCAGACTGTTTGTATTAGATGACAGAGTATTGATCATATTGATCAGCAGCAGCAGTTGAGGTAAAGATTTTTCTCTTCTCACTGTGAGTGTGTGAGTGTCTTTCTGATCATCCTCTCACATGTGTGACATTTAAAAACGGAAATCAAAGAGATTGTACGTGACATCAACATTGGATTCACAACAATTGGTTCTCAGACAGGATGTGTTTACGGACCTGAACAATGCCTGTAATTGTCCCGACTCACAGAGAGACAGTGATTTTTTCTTCCTCGGTGCCCATCTCTGTTTGTGTTTGAATGCTGCTTGGGCTCGTGACTGTGTGTGTGTGTGTTCTTGTATTTCAGTCTTTGTGAGGACTGATTTTCAGATAAACCGCAAGAGCGAGACATGGTGTTTCATGTGCCGTGTTATGGATTAGTTTTAGGCTAAAGATTAGAAATAGGTTAAAGTACAAAGATAGAGAAATTACCGTGTCGATGAACGTCCTCTCACATACAGACATCCAAACATGACCGTGTGTGTTTGGGTGAGGCTGTGACAGTGTAGTCATGACTAAAGATGACCGTCTTTTGATCTCATGAGTGTCCACCCTGTTTAAGTCCGCCAAATTAAAAACCAAGATACATCATTTGTAACTGCATTCTTGAACGACACATAAAATAATTTTCTAATCTCCCAATTGGCAGGAGTGTAGCCTTTGAACCCCATTAGAAATCACAGTTGGGAAAAAAAAAAAGCTGACGCTAAGATTTTGTCACAATAGGCACATTAGCTACTTGGTTAGCTAAGGGAAAAGCTAACCAGTGAGGGTCAAATTAATGCTTTGGTAAGGGACGGCGTTTTGTCATATTAGTTACATAAAATGGTTACACAGCGCTTTTTGCTCCGGCAGGGTCAACAACCTCCATTTCAGAGGGTTGTTGTCAGCGCTTATTGTTGCTAGGTTACGAAAGTTACAGTCTCTTTTTCTATCCTAGGTAATGTCTGTTATCTGTGTTTATATTGTTTAAAATTGGCTTTAATTCAAGGAAATATCAAAAATAATCTATTAGCCATTCCCCTCTCAGCTCAAGCTAGTTGCTAACATTGTCTCTGGTGTTTGGTGCTGTTGTTGTAAAGTCGATTTTTCCGCATTATTTTTTTCGAACAGATGTTTACTGCTAATCAGTAAATAAGATAAAACAGAGTGAACTTTGAGGGACATATTTGACTATAAATTCCTTTTAAGTTGGGAGCTGAGGTAGGGCTTTGTTTATTTTAGCTTCGCATATTTATGTGAAACACATACAAATAACTACCCTGCCCCTTCTCAAGCTTGGACAGAAACAGGCTCTTTTCAAAATACGAGTCTGAAAGAAGCTAAAATGTTCTTAAGCGCTTCAGAGTTGGTGGAAATTGAATCAGTTCAACACTTGGGTGACTCCTTCCTCATTACCTAGACTTTCAGTTTATACAAACCATTGCTAATTAGTCCAGGAGAATAAATGTCATTTCACAGACACATCAGATTACTGATTCAAGATCGGGAACTTTGTGGACACTGGTTGACACTAATATGAACGACTAATCAATACTAATACAAAGCTGCCTGCCAGCTGCCAACCTCTCCGATCTACCCGTCGAGCCTGTGACTAAAGTTCCTCCTTCCAAATACTCTTAAATCACAGAATGATTATTTGTAGAAGAAGACGATATACTTTATTAATGTTGTGAGGGGAAATACAAATTTACACTCTGTTGTTGAACATGCTACATACATAGGCTGAAATACACACATGCACAGACAGGATCCCATGCATATCCACTAATGGAGTGATGACAGAGTAAGGGGGCTACCCACAGCAAGCGGTGCAGGATTCAGTCATTGATTGTTTTTTATTTGCATGTGTTATTCATACTCATGTGTAATACCTTTACAGAAAATCTGCTCTATAATAGCTGTTGTTATGTTGTTATCTGTAGACATGTACGTATTGTGATACTGTTGTTATGCAATGTATAAAGAAATGTATACGCTAGTGAGTCACTCTAACATGCACACACTCCCCCACAGTGCAGCCTGTCGACATGACCAACCAAGCAGCTCTGTGTTTGTCTGGGCTTTGTTCTTTTCCCAGTTTCCATCAGGCGGAAACTAGCCTACCGTTCTTGCTGCTGTGCTTTTTTCATTGTGTATGTGTGTGGATGTGTGTGTGTGTGTGTGTGTGTGTGGATGTGTGTGTGTGTGTGTGTGTTTGAGCTGTCAGAACTGGAAAGTGTAAAGGAAATAATTGCTCTGAAACGTATCCATTCTTGGAAAGTCTTCCTGTCTCCTGGGTCATTGTTAACTTTGTTCACTCAGTATCTGGAAAAAAACAGAGTAAAATATGATTTGCTGAATGGTTGAGTGTTTCCTGTAAGTGGCCTTTTCATGAACTGTGAAGCACATCTCATTAACATGACATCCATCAGCTGCAAATTTCGAATTCCTCTGATGGATCTCTACATATTTGCCGATTATGTCTCAATGTTCGTATTAATGAAGTGCCATAAATATCATACTGACTGAGATTTTTATTTCTAAATTTCATTCAGGAATTTTAAAGAAAAAAAACACTTTATTTACAGGTTGATAATGTATACAATGAGAACCTGTGGGGATTGTAAACAGTCTTCTTGAAAGCAGATAGATGGGAACAAATACATCGGATTGCTCTTCAGACCAAATTGCAGCGTTTAGTGCATTTACATCAGTGTTTCCCCTGCCATTATATTAGCCCCCCCCCCCCCCCTTGCCCCCCTTGAAAGGTCAAGTAAAAAAAAAGATATATATATATATAATTAGGTCTAATGTAAATGCCTCACATCATGGCAATACACTGAGTGTTGCTTTATAGCAAGAATGTGCAACTTTTTAATCCAGTAGATTTCGCCCTTGAGCACAAGCATAAAACAAAACAAACTGATGTTTGACACCTCCACTATTCTGAAGCCTCCGCTCTCCTCCAGCAACACACCTCCAATCCTACTCCACTCAGGTTGACACGAAGGAGTTTAGTGCAAGCGATGGACAAAATTGACCTGGGCTCGAGCTGCAATTGCCTGTGGCCTGCATTGTTGTGTTAGCATGCTAATGTTAGCACACTTTAGTTAGCTGGTAGCTTCACTTTCTACAATAACCACACAGGACTCGAGCTTCTCACTCATTGTAGACAGTCATGACTCAGTGAAACATTTAAACATTTCATTTGGATTGCTTTTTGTTGGATCTGCCTTCTCTTCTCATCTAATGCTTTCCTACATTATCCCAGATTGCACTTTGGAAACCTCTTTTGCTTCTTTAAAAGGTGTCTCTGCTGCGGATGACATGAACAAAGAGAATTTGTAAGTCTAGAAAAATGAAGTTGAAACAACATAACAAAGAACTTTTTGACAAAGACACTGATGTCAAATGTAGCATTATATCTTCATGTACTTCTTGGTCTTGTGCTTCTTCAGGTGTAGAAATGAGCCTGCCTTGGTAACCCTTCTCCATGGATTTCTAACACAAGCAGAAACAAAGGATTGAATCGCTCTAACCACACTTGCAAAGAGCCACTATTCCATGTGAAGATATGCAAAATATTCACAATCAATTTACATTAAAAACATGTTTTAATGTTGATTTTATTCTTCAGGACACTCATAATTGATACTATAGAGCAGCTCCACCTGACAGTGATGTCTGAGGTTTAGTCAGGCGCATCACACAAATTTAAATTTCAGCATTATTCATTTCCTGAGAGACCCAAAACACAGGGGGAATTTTCCAGGACAGTGAATCTGTAAAAATGCAAAGTGTACCTTTAGCTTTGCATCATGTGGCTGTGAGTAACGAGAGTTTTGTAGTCCAACAAAATTGGTTGTGGGCGTTGATCAGGAATTTGACATTGATGATTTTTCAAAACCTACATTTCTTTTAGATCCAATATGTAGTGTTTTATTCGTGAGGGATACAAGGTCGGATCTTGTGTAAGAATACTTTTTGTTTCTTTAGAATAGGAGTAAATAAGATGAACTGACTGCAAGTACTTGAAGAGAAAATTACTTTTCGTCTTGAAAATAAAGCCAACAACTATGATATAATGAACTTTGCAAGAACAACGACAGGTTTTATTTCACAGATGGTCTCCTCTGACGCTCTTTGATTAAAACACATCAACAGACAGACGGACAGACAGACGTCCACCTCAGGAGGGATTCCTCCTTCTTAATCTGTGTCAAGTTCTAATCTCTCACCTGGCGACACAGACACTCCTTATGTTCAAGTGCATGTTCCCATCGTGTGTGTTCAAGAATGAAGAAGGTAACATGGACGATTCATGATGTTACAGTATTTGAAAAGACATTTATTTATTTAAAAAAATGGATGTGTTCATGTGACTTTTATCTTTTACCCAGTGCCTGTTCATAATGCAGAACACCAGAACCACCAGATGGGGGCAGTAGTGCATCTTTAAGCTGTGTGTTATAACTACATTTAAATGGGAGAGGAGGAAACGTAATGTAGTCATTTAATCATGTGCACAGAGATTGTAATGGTCGATACACACTATGCACTGTGCAGCAGTCACAAGATAGAAATGTCACCACCCTCTCCTATTGGCTCGAGGTGAATTCTCCGGATAATATCCTGCGGCATTCTCATATCAGCTCACTCCGACTTGCTGTGGAAAAAATGCTAGGGGTCTGGCAGGAGAAACTCCGGGTGAAGTCTGAGCGGAAAAAAAAGTGTCTGTTTGCGTTCACTCATACAGCTCCTCCAGCAAATATCAGGAGTTCTACAGGAGTTTTCTGCAAGTGTGAAAGCACTATACTGTATGATACACCCAAATATAACGACTCACAGCAGTAAAGACCATACCAAGACATTTGTTAAAAGTGGCATTGAACAAATTTGGTTTTTATTACTCAGAATCATCTAACGAGAAAAGAAACCCTCCAGATTACTCCAGTATATTATATATATTTTTTTTTTGTTTAACCATCATTTCTATCAAAATAAAAAAGTTTGGGTACATGATGGGTTACAAATTCAAATTCACATGTGTAGGTCACATACACAGTTATTCATAGAGGTACAAGGTGTGGTGAAATGTTTTTAAAAGAAGAACAAGAATGTAACCATTCTCGCAGGAGCTTAAAAAAACATCAAGTAGTCTTAATGACACACAGTCACACTAAATCTGAGCGTTAACTTTTATTGATTTAGATAAACAAAACTCAGAGCTCCTCAGATCAATGCTGCTATCTCTCACTTGCTGATTCACCCGTTACCATGACAACAGTGTGTGTGTGTGTGTGTGTGTGTGTGTGTGTGTGTGTGTGTCTGCCTGGTACACGTAGATGGGAAGTGAGTCATGGTTGGTGGGTGGACAGAGGAGGACGATGTGATCTTATTTGGGATGACAAGTTGCCGTCACAGGAGTTTCCAGCTCTCTTTCTATCAGTTAGAATCTCACTCTTCTCTCTCTCTCTTTCTCTTTGTCTTCCTGCTCCTAATCCACAGCGAGATGCCGACCTGTAATAGTGGTGTGATATTGCATCTACCTATATGTTGGATCAATCTAGAAGCATCTACCGCTTTAGCTTCTAAATGTTCACTCATGAGGCTAACTGTGTGTGGCTGACCAAGTGTATTGTTCAGCAGGTTTTTAGTGTTGCTAAATCAACACCTGCCGTGTGTGGCCAAAAATAAATAAATAAAAGCAGTGACAGTGATTCCACACAACAAAAGGCTGTGGGCCAGACATCTGAATTCAATTTTCATTGAATACAATATTATCAAAATATCGATGATAGCTGCTTTAGATAGAATTAGTTTGTGTATTAAAACTAACATATGCACACAGCTATGTGTAATGTCTGACGTCTTATTGGGTGTGTCAGAATGACTACTGACTGTATATAAAGGGTCTCAGACTAACCCGTTCTACTAAAATCCAAATACCCCCTGGGACAGGCTCTGACATCTTGTGCGGGTGACGTATTCTGGAGCCAGAGCCTGTGCAGTTGGGATCACCTGGTTAAGCCACAGGATTTATGTCAAGCACCTTCTGCTAACCAAAACACACATTCATCACAACAAAAAGAGCAAAGGTCCCTGAGGTCAGCAAAGTCCACAGCAGAACAGATTGTTGTGTCCATTTGAAGCTATAGGCACTCACAGTTCTCAGTCATCCAGGTCATGGTAAACCAAAGGAGGATGATCCAAACCGCCGACTGGACTTAGATGAGGAACTTGAACAATCTTGTGTCACTATTGTTACGTTCACACTGATCCTTGCATACCCTCCTTTTTGAATGCACACTGTACTATGAAAGAGATCCATTTGTCAACCTAACAATCATCGCCTTTTTAGTCCTTTTTATATCATCAAGTCACTCATGAATACTAAACTCAGAATTATGAACAATCGAGCATGAATCAGCATTAAATGACATAAAACATGTTTGAAAAAAATAGCTGGTGTGCATTTTATTGTTTGAGGCAGGCGGTCAAGAGCTCCAGAATATTGCAGCCATGACGAGCTCTAAATGTTTTGGCTTCACTTTTGGGGAGCTGTCATGTCATCCTTTTTCTTATACAGTCTTTATCCCTTTTCAGACTGCATTTTTGGCGAAAGCGCTGTACCTAACTAAGCTTAGCGATCATCATGTCTTTGTACATTGATACCAATTCTGCAACGCTGAAACCCAATATCACGGCATTGTGGAAGCACGGCACTGTGGGAGCGCCACATAGTCTCACAGTCAGACATGCAGGCACATACAGCACTGCACTCCCCCGCTGGCTCTGCTGCAACCGTCTCGCCTCTGTAATGCCTCTGTTATTACCTCCGAAGAAGGTACAGGGGGGGGATCACGTCGTCCCCCTATTACGCCTCAGCAACATTCAGATTGAAGGCTAAACGTCACAGGGCTGGAAATATCAGGGCAGCCTGAAAGGGGCTTGTGATTGTACCAGACTCAACAGTGAAATCACTGAATATAAACCACATCCCCTGTTCCTTTTTTATCATCAATCTACTTGACTGCAATTTTTTTTCTATTCTTGATTAATTGTTTGTGACTATACTTCAACCTTTTTACTTTCTGATTCGTTTTTATAAAATTCAGAAAAGGATAGACAAACTACTGATGAGAAAAGTTGTGAAAAGAGGGGAATGCTTTTTGTGATTGTGGGGTGACTTGACCTATTAACAAGAATGTGAAAGAAGGAGAAAGAAAAAGGTCTTTGAGAAGTATCATGGTTTCTAGAGTCCCTCGAAACAGCCCAAAGAGACTCACACTGGTTGTGTGTGTGTGTGTGTGTGTGTGTGTGTGTGTGTGTGTTGTGTTCCTGGTAGCTTTGGTAAAAGGTCTGGTTCCCTTTAAATGCACATCACGGAGCACAGACAAAAGATTCCCTGCTCATTCAACAGAATAAAAGCTTTGTGTGTGTGTGTGTGAGAGTGTGTGAGAAGTGAGCAAAAGAGAGGGAGAGAGAGAGAGAGAGAGAGAGACAAAAGTTGTGTTTATCGAGTGTCTCGATTCAGAACTCTGTGACCAAACCTCTCTCTTTCCTCTTTCCTCCTGCCTTTCCTCTTTTTTTTTTCTGCTCTCCATCTATTTTTTCTTTCTCATCACTTCCTTTTTTTCTCTTCCTCTTTTTCTTCCCTCTTCTCCACAGGACACATTGAACAATAACTCCTTTGGGAAGAAATACAGTTGGCAGGAGAAGGTTTCGGGGTCGTCCTCTCCTCTTAAAACAGGTGAGACTTTCTGTCTTTCCCATCAGATCTTCTTCAATTTTGAATGCGTAGATTTTTGCCAGAAATTGTCTGAATGTTCTTATGTTGTTCATGTTAACTAGAAAAGCTCTAAGGTATTATTCACGCTCCTGCTACTCACACAGCAGCTGAATTCACTGGTGATTTGCATCAAGTCTGGCAGGCTGTGGGTCGGTCTGATCCTCAGGGGACATAGTTAAGGCTCAGATTAGCTCTACTCTGCTAATTGTAGCTAACTAAGGCAGTGTTATAAACTGTCTGTGTGTTTGCATGTGTGTGTGAGCGTGTGTGTGCGTGTGTGTGTGAGCCAGCTCAAGGCTTTAGCTAGCTGGGAGCTGTCATAGCTCGTTGCTACAGCTCTTTTCAGACCACCATGTGAGGCGAGAATAACCAAACTCACTGCCAACACCTCTCCGACGTGAGGGGGAAACTGTTGCAGAACATTAAATGTTGTCTCAGTCATATTAAAAAACCCCACTGAGAGTAAAACCTTTAAAATCAAGATTAATCAGCTTCCTTGTTCTGCTTCATTCATGCCTTGTTGGCAGAACTATTTCATGCGTTATTATCAGGTGGTTACCTCATTTCTAGTATTGTGTTCACATCAAATACGATTAAATTAAGGACAGTGCTAAACTAAAATTAGAATATTTTTTAGAGGTTTATTTTTGGGCTTTTCATACCTTTATTTAGAGATAGGAGAGTGGATAGAGTCAGAGCGGGAAAGGGGCCACAGGTCCTGTCAGGAGATTTTAGCTGGTTATGAAAAAGACTCAAATGAATATTGATATCTCTTTCTGTACTATGAAAGCAAACCGGAACATCAGCGAGTCTGTAAAAAAGTGTTTTCAGAAGTGATTCAAAAGAAGTTTCTGATTCTGCACGGCCAGAATCCAGCGAGGTCGTTCAAAAGCCGAGGAGTACAGGCAGCAAAGTCACTGTCGCCTTTAGATTTGAGCCTGAACATTTCAGATTCAGATAAACTACTATCTAAACTGTTCACACCTATACAAGCAGTACAGAAAGGCACTGAGGCCCTTCTAGAAATATCTAGAAAACCAAATGGTGATGTGCAGTGATGTTCAATAAATACAAACGAGCAACATTTTCTTTAAAGGAAGAATATACAACTTTTTGATCCAGTAGATGTCGCCCTTGAGCACCAGCATGAAACCAAAACAACTCGCCCTGCATGCTAATGTTAATCTTTTTGCTAGTATCTTCACACTGCATGTTATGTGACATTCAAATCAATGAGTACAATAGTTATTCTTCCTGTCTCCCTCAATTAAAAAACTTTTATAAGCAAGGGGATAAACACTTGTAAACATGGTGTAGATACAGCTCGGAAAGCATCACAGACAGCGGGACTCGGGTGTCACACTCATTGTAGACAGTCATGATTCACAGAGTTATTTTCAGAGGATATACTTGATTTCTATTACATTTAAGAGTGAAAAGTCGCATATTCTCCCTTTTTAGAGCAAGAAAAGCTCTAAAGGGATCTTATAAAAAAAAGCATTCCCACTGTTTTATAGCATCCAGCAAAGAGTGGAGAAACAGAAAGAGGCGTTTGTTTTTTTACAAAATCAATAGAGGGATACCAATGATGTATGTTTCATTAGGATACCGTATTCCCCCCTTACACCGTTTCTGTACATGAGCTTATCAGACATATTTTACTTGATAAAAGACTTGTAATATTCACTATGAGTACACTCTCCTCTTGCATAAAGAGATTGTCTTAACAATCCTCAGTTCAGCTTTAAGATTTCTTGGAAAGACAATCAAATGAAATTGAAGTCTGAAAAGAAGGAGAAAAAAAAAGATGATTGACCTTCTGACACGGCATTATGTCACACATAACAGATTACATCATGTCCAGATAACAATGTGTCTGTCCCGGTCAGAGATTAGAACATCGGCACTTTGGACAAATCGGACAAATATTTTTATGTAACAGAGAAAAGCTGAGAGGGGATTATTTTTTTTTATCAGAGGGCATTTTTCAGTAGCTGCTTATCTGATAATAATAATGATATAGATATAAATAATATTTTAAAACACTCAAGGTAACCTTACAAAGCAGTAAGGTTATCAACAATAAATCAATAAAACTATCATTAAAAAGACACATTTGCAGTTTATAAAATCATTGTGAGACAAGATGGATGATGATCAGACTGAATATGGCAATTTAGAAAGATGTGTGCGAGTTGGAATGGAGAGAGAGTCAATGTTCAGGGCCAGGCTCAGGTTACTTTATTTGTACCTGGAGGTAAATTTGCTTGTAGGGAGAGTCACTTAATACAACACAGACAATACGTAAAACATACAAAGTGCAAATGCACGGTACATGGGTCAAAGTGCTCAGGTTCCAATCGTACAAATGATAAAAACAAGTTGATCTGTCAAAGTTACAGAGCCGAGAACAACAGAATAAATAATAAATGAAGAAACACTAAGAAGCATGAAAATAGTTTCCTAGCCTGCTATCTCGGTCTTAAGACCTTCATGAGGATCTGCTGAAGGTCTCTGGGCCCCATGGTGGTGGTCAGGCGGGTGGGTGGTGCAGTGAGTTGAATGGAAGAAGACCTGAGAGTGTGGGTGAATGTGTTGATGCGCAGGAGTTTAGAAAGCTGGGTGTGGCCTTAAAGGTGAGGAGCATAATCTTGAAATCAAAGCGATATTTAACCAGGGAGCCAGGGAAGCTGCTGAAGGAGACAGGAGTGATGTGAGTAACCCCGTTTCCACCAAGCGGTCCCGCTAGCGGTCAGCTAGGAAAAAGGGTTAGGGTTAGCAGCCCAACACAGTATAACTTGCTATTAAGTTCAATGAAGAAGAAGAACGGGACACAATAAACAAGGGATCATTGATCGGTACCCTTGGCACCCCAACAGAAGGGTACCAAAAAAGAAGGACGGTATGGATCCCTAATTTTGTTACCATTCCCAACTTTTGACGGTGGAAACGCCAATAAATGGTACAGAGCCGACCTGAGTCTGACCGCTTGGTGGAAACGGGGCTTAATGGTGGGGGTTCTCTGGAGATGACGTGAGCAGCAGAGTTCTTCACCAGTTGAAGTTTTTTGGATGGAGTCCAAAGAGTAGCATCAATGGGCGATGTAACCATAGAGACTTTCCGTGGTTCCTTAAGTATGTTTAAGATCATCTTAGACCTCACATCACATGTCTTGTGACTCCTGATCTCATGCTGCTTTATTGACAGCGAGAATATTATCCTAGGATATCCTGGCCATGGATTATGACGTAACACAGCATCTACCTTCTCCTGGCTGCACTGGGATTTTGATGAGTCATGGGGATTTAGCTGTGTAATCCTGACATCCGTTACCTAACCGCTGCTTCTCTCCTCTCTTCCTGTTTTGCGCTTTCATTTATCCGTCTACTCATTCGCTGACATGTCTGCCTTCACATCTGCGTGTGCATTTGTGTGCCGGTCGTGTCTTCAATTCTGCATCGTGTATATTTACTCTCTGCTCCTTTCTGGCTTTTGTGCGTGCTTGTTTGTCTGTGTGTGTGTCTCTGTGGCCGTCTGCATGTTGCTGTTTGCTTCTGCTCTCCCTCCAGGTGAGCTCACGCCTCCTCGTGAGCACAGCTGTCTGAGCGACGAGGACAAGGTGCAGGGTGGGGGAGCGCAGACCAAAGACAGGGGGACCTCCACCGACGCCCCCTGCAGGCACAGCCACACATCTGGACACTCGCACGGATCCTCCACAGCGGCTGCTACGCGCTCAAAGGTCTCCGAGAAGCCCCCCGCTCCACCTCCACCGCAGAACTATACGCCAGCTCCTCTTTACCCAGCGGGGAAGGCGGATGGAGGTGGAAACCACCGCGAGAGGATCCGCTACCACACGGACGTTCATTTAGAGCCCACAGAGGAGATCTATCTGACTCCTGTGCAGCGCTCTGCCGACCCCCTTGAACCCTCCAACTCACAGGACCGACCTTTCCTCTCACAGCAGACCGAGCAGGGACGCATGTCCATCAGCTCCGACACAGAGGGCCCGCCTCCTTACCAGCCCCTCCCAGACCGGACAAACCCCTCCATCTTTGAGGAGGACGAGGTCTACGTCCCCCCGCCTTCCTATGCTTCCTGTGTAGAGTCCCTCATCACGCCGCCCAGCATGGCTCGCTCCTCCCTCGCACTGGACCTCAGCCTGAAGGGTGCGGGAACAGGGGCCGGGGTCATGCTAAGAGGCGGGTCATCAGTGGAGTATGTGGATGCTACAGATGACAGCTACTGCGGGGAGGAGGACGAGGATGTGGACAGGATAATAATGGATGTAAAGATGAGGAAGGGTGGAGGAAAGGGGGATGGCGTCGGAGGCAGAGGCGCCCCTCCGAGGACTTCTATGAGCTCGGAGGCCAGCGGGCTCTCCTATGACTCAGTCAAATACACACTGGTGGTGGACGAGCACGCTCAGTTGGAACTGGTCAGCCTCCGGCAGTGTTACCAAGGCTACAGTGACGACAGTGACTCGGCTACCGTTTATGACAACTGCGTCTCGTCTCCCTACGAGTCGGCCATCGGGGAGGAGTACGAGGAGGAGGGGGAGGAGGAGGAGGAGGAGGAGGAAGAGGACGAGGAGGATGAGGAGGAGGACAGCTCTCGGATAGGAGGAGTGAGGAGAGAGGCCACAGCGTGTCTGTCAGAGGACTCGACTCCAGAGGTGGACCTGCACTTCTCCAAGAAGTTCCTCAACGTGTTCATGAACGGGCGTTCTCGCTCTTCCAGTAAGTCTCTGCCACAATTACAACACATATGCAGTACTTTGACATTTACCGAACATGCATTTCATTCATTCACTGAAGCACTGAAGTTCTATTTTAAAGGTTTTTTTTTTATGTTGCATTTGAAAAGTACGAATTTAGCACTGAGACATCGAAGGAAAAGGAGAAGAAGCGTCTTTGCATTGAAGCTAGGTGTTTGTTCTGCCCTCTGAGTCTGCCTTCTCACCGTGGACAATGTTGCAAAAATGCCCATGCCACCAAAGCCCTTCCAGAGAGGGGGCGTGGTCAGACACAGCTCATTTGCATTTAAAGCTACAGACACAGAAACAGCCTGTTCTGAGCAGGGCTGAAATAGAGGGGCTTATAGACATGATAACATACAGGATCAGAGTGGATTTATAGGAAGAACCTTCAAAGACATGTTTTGGGGAGCTCTGAGACTTATTTAAACTGGTTGAATAGGAGGAGAATGTGTGACCTTTAAAGTTTAACTGCACATGGAGGTCAAATGGTTTGAGATACTGTAGGAGATTCTATCTTGTGGATTTGTCGTAATTCATTTGTCATTTATAATGCACAGAAACAATGGAGGCACATTTTCCAAGTTAAGATTTCTAAGTCCATGATCAATTTAACAGATAGCTCACGTATAAAAAGTATATCTCCTAATGCAAGACGTGTTCGGTGTTTGAAACAGCAGGACAAACCTCAGAGCTGCAGGGCAGGCCGCTCTTCTGTGTGATACTCCAGAAACATGGAGTGACACAGCAGCCATTGCTGTCCAGTTCAATTGGCAGCGTGGTGCAAAAGGCTTAAAGTAATGTGGCTGATTAAGCAAAGCCACAGAGAGTCCAGAGCTGGAATATTCTCTTTCAGTTCAGATCATCACTCTCGTAACATGTAACTCTCCATAGTGTGACACGTGCATTTCACTTAGAAAGCTGAAAATGAAAGAAAATGATGACAGAGGACAAACGCTTTGCACTTTTTTTTTTGTTGTTGTACCCTTTTAGAGAATGTGAACTACAAAGAAGTCAAACTAATTTAGCCAGTGTTACCCAGCTCAGCTTTTAAATCTTCGAAGTAAAAGCTGCAGTGTTTGCTGCTTTGTTGATATCGTTATCAGCGCTCTGACAGCAGCACGCTGAATGCAGAAACACAGCTGGATATTCTGATGCCCTGCAGGGTGTGGGGGGGGGGGGCACTCAGCCAAAAACACTCTGCAGCTTCCTGGATTTGTCTCCAGACTCTCTTTCCCCTCAGTTTTGCCGACCTAATTGCATGCTTCAAAAACAACGTTAGTTCATGTTTAAGTTTGAGATTTGATCAAACTAAAGATGTTTTTTCCTTTTTTTTGGTGGGGGGGGGATTGGCTTTTTACCCGTATGAGACAGTGGACAGAAAAGGAAACCATGGAGAGAGAGAGTGGGGAATGACATATGGAAAAGGAGCCACAGGCCGGACTCACTCACCTGGGCTGCCCATTTGGAGGGATATACATGGGATGTGACCTAACCACTAGACCATCTGCGCCCCGATCAAACCAAATTCATGTACTAATTAACAAACACATTTAAGTTCTGTAAAAGATGAGGGCTAAAATGTTTGGAATTGTATCAACATTTTGACCCTTTGATGTGAATTTGATGTTTTTTGTCCTTCAGTATCTTCAGAAATTGAGCCCTTGGAGCCCTGACATTTTGAACGGTTTATTTGTGATTGGTAGTGGATTGAGATCTGAGAGATTTTAAGCATTTTGATCAATATTTGTGCTGCAGAAATACTGCTGAGTCATGATAGGTTTCAGATCATCTCCAGTGCTTTGATAGCCTGCTCCTGGTTTCCAGACTTTATTTCTTTTTTGGTCTCCCATTGAACAAGAAAGAATAAGTCAACGGAGGAGTGAAGTATTTCCCTTCATTAGACTGATTTAAACCTTGGGAGGGAAAAATAGTACACATCTTTGGTAAGACGTCGACCCTCATTATGATGCGTTTGTATGTGTAAATAAAGCAGTCAGCAGTTATGTGGCAGAAAAAAGAATCATAAGCAAGACACAGACAGAGAGTAAGAGATCCCTCTGTAATGTGTGTGTGGTCATTTCCTCTTAATAGACCTTGAAGTCCAGTTGGAAGTCGTCCATGTGTTTAACAGACTCATTAGTTTATCTGAGCCGTGCAGAGGGGATAACAGATAACTCAGGGGAATGCAGGTAAAAATACACAATGCTCATGTGTGATACGCCTAATTAAGGTGTGATTCATAGCTCCCGATGAATGCATCTGCTGTAGAGTAAACTAAACGGACACTAAGTGTGTTCACTGTTTGTTTAGGAAAGAGGTTTGTTGCTGTATAAAGCAAATTCATTCATCTTCTTTTACACTGTGTAACATGGAACTGCCCCTTTTCTTTTTCAAGGTGCAGAGTCCTTCGGCTTGTACTCGTGTGTCATAAACGGAGAGGAGAGGGATCAGAGCCACAGAGCTGTGTACAGGTAAGAAGAGCTCCACCACCTCTATCATCATCAACATCAACATCATCATCATCAGTCCAACGTCTTGGGTTCATCAGTTCTTACTGAATATGCAAAAAAAATTCTCAACACATGCTGTCTGGAAATAATAATAATAATAATAATGCATTGGACTTTTCTGACTACTTAAAGAAGCTTAACAAAGAACAAGAAAACAAAACAATGAAGAAATAGTCTTAAGAGAAGGAGGATAAGAACAGAGTTCGTTAGTGGTTGTAGGCGATGTTGAAGAGGTTGAGGTTTTAGGGATTTCTTGAAGGTGGAGAGTGAGGGGGAGTCTCTGATGTTTTTTGGGGGTTTGAGTTCCAGAGGGTGGGAGTGGCAATGGAGAAGCTAAAAAAAATAATCTTTATTAAAAAAAAAGGGAAAATACATGATTGCTATTTTGTTCATCTAAGTTCAGTTTTCTCTTACAGTTATGAAAATCTGAGTTCTTGTTGGTATGCTGTCAGGTCAACGATCATGGCTGGTTACCTTTGACTTCCATCTCTTGTTCATTTTTAAGTGCTACACTGAGCATCAATCAGTCTGTGTCAGTACACTCCTGTCCCCTGATTCCTCTCGTCAAACATACGCCTCATTTCAAGGTGTGGTCACCTTTATCATAGCTCATCTACACTAGCCTTTTTTTTTTTTCTAAGTTGTCTTTGAAGCAGAAAAATGCTCCATTTCTTCCTATTTCCATGGTAACATTCACACTCCAGCTGGCAGCATGCAGTTCCAGCTGCTGATGAAGACCTCCGGCTGTTAAATGCACAGAGGAGGGAGAGTGGGGGGGGGGGGGGGGGGACAAAAATAACAGCAACGCAGTCATGTGAAAAGCAGCATCTCTGCACATTGAGCTGGAATCATGTGACGGAGCAGGACATTAACAAGCTCTGCGCCGTCAGCTTTGCATGGATAAAGGGTTTCTTTAACTCAAACGGCATTTGAAAACTGCATTCATAAACTAATACTTCAATAGAATATAATTTTATGGTGCCTCTTTGGCCGTTAGTACAACTGACATGCCACTGTTAGGTTTATTAGCTGGGTTGTATCATTGTGCCATTATCAGTTATCAGTAATATTTCTGAAAAGGTTTACATTTTTTGTGACCAATGTAAGCAACCCCACATGCTTCAGGCTAGCAGTATTTGTTGCCATACCGTGGTGAATAAGCAGTAAAATAAATAAAACATGTGATGAGAATTTTGAGCCATGTTTAGATGAGTCTTTGCTTTGCCATGAGATTTCATTTCAGACCTCCTATTAAAGCCTCAAATCTTTGAGGTTCTTCTCATTTACATCGAAGACATCGAGATACAAAAAAAAAAAAAAAGCCCAAATAAATCAACAAAGAAAAGGAAGATTCTTGGTAAAAAAAAAAAAAAGAAGTCTCACACTTTGGTGAAGTCTGTCTGAATTTGTCCCAGAGACACAAGAGTGTCCATCTTGAGAGTGGGTTGTCAGTTATTCCACATTTTTGGAGCGAAAAAGCTGAATGTGGATTTTCCAAGTTCAGAGTTAAACCGTTGGGACCTGAAGCGATAGACGGTCAGTCAGTAGGTTTTTACACTGGAATAAATGTGCATCAAAGCTGACTGCAGTTATTTTCTCTGTGAAGACACATGCCACCAATTACTTCAAGCATACAGGGACCAAAAGGGTCAGGAACACACACTCAGGAAAGTAAAGTGAAAATAAATCCAACATACAGACATGAGACAACATCAAAATAAAATAAAGGAAAATAAAGGTGCCTCCGTTCCTCTACATAACCACATGTGTGTCTTCAGGTTCGTCCCTCGACATGACGATGAGCTGGAGCTGGAGGTGGATGATCCGCTGCTGGTGGAGGTGCAGTCAGAGGATTACTGGTACGAGGGCTACAACATGCGGACCGGCGCCCGCGGCATCTTCCCGGCTTACTACGCGATAGAGGTGGCCAAAGACTCCGACAGCGAAAAAGGTATCGACACTTTGACAGTGATCAATATAAATATGATGCTGAAACACTGACTGGAAGTGTGAACAAACTATACAAGTCGGGATACCCAAGGCTTCATTTCTAAGTCATTTTTCTTTGAAAATGTAAAACTTGAATTTGACAGTGTACTGATGCTCACTCCTATCACACCACATCATTTAGATTTGATTGTCTTGTTAAGCTGCACGATTCAAGGTGTCTCCCTCTGCTCTGTCATTGCTTTCCTGTCTCGTAACAGTGCTGCACTTACACTCTCAATCCCCCCCCCCATCACCCCAGCCCCCACCTGCAGGCTCCGACTCAGGGTTTAAGATATTATTCCAGCCAGCTTACTTTAAATTTTTAGGTTTCTGCAGCCGTGATACACTAGTACACTCCTGTGCTTCTTTGAGTCGCTGCACGCAAGTGAAGCTGAAAGCAGTCTAAATTTAGAAGTGATTCATATTCAGGAGAGTTTGTTTTTTTTAACAAATAGACAAAAGAGAGAGAGGTCATGGAGTAAAACAGCAGCAAGCAGGATAAACAGCGAGAGATGAGAGTCCGTATTCAACTGCTATAAACTGTTTGTCCAGATTCATATGATGCAATAGCTAATTTGTTGACAAGTAAATCAACAAAAAATGTATCGTCAGCTATTGTGCAGCAGATATTAAATTGAAAAATCTTGATATGTGAGTATTTCCTTCTTAGTTTTGCTTAAAAGGATTCATAAGTTTTGGGTTTCACCTCCTGATTAAGAAATTAAGAATACATTGACTTTTCTCAACTTTCTGACATGATATATACCTTTAATTTAATTAAGTAATCTTTAAATATGTTTCAGATTACGTAAGAACATTTTTTGTTTGTCCTGGTTGAGGATTACGACTTGATTTAAATCTTAATGTCACAAAGATTACAGTGTGGAGGAACCCACTCACACAGAGACTCAGATAAGTAAAACAGACCACCTCTGGGATGTTTTTGGATGGGAGATCTGTTTGGGATTGTGTAGCTCCATGCTACATTGGGAGCTATATACCCATCTGATAAATCTTCTCTTATGCTGCTGCTGTTGACAAGGGTGCAAATATGTAATGATGAATATGAGAATGAAGGCAAAGCCATAACAGTGTGTCACATGCTGTAAGTATGACAGTATAGGGGGGGTGGGCCAATTACTGATCAGTCGTCCCCTTAACCCAAACAATTTTGCACTTATTATTTGTATGTTGGTGTGGAAAACAAATCAAAAATATTTTTTTGTTTAATGTCTCCATTAAGATGCTGATAAAATCCCACCTGGATTATAGTATCTTAATTAATGCCTTGTATCCCTGTTATCTTTCTTGTTGCCTCTGATTATTATGTCCTGGGTGTTTCCTCTAATTCCATGTTTGCCTCTCTCTTTTTAAGAAGTGAAAAGCAGCGAGTGGATGGACAGATACAGGCTGAAGTTCCTGGGCTCAGTTCAAGTGCCCTTCCACAAAGGAAACGATGTTCTGTGTGCAGCTATGCAGAAGGTACAGTACAAAGTGCACATTTCTGCATGTTTGCATGCGTGTTTGAGTGTCTCAAGCATTGCACTCAAGCCACAACCTCCGGTGTTGAAAAGTGAAGCCAATGTGGAAGTGCAAAATCCTGCAGGTCCTCGAGTGTCCACTAGAGGCTGACTGCAGAAGCACCAGAAGTCACATACACACCCTTTTAAAAAAAAAAAAAAGCCAGTTTCTACAGCAGAAGTTAAAATGTTTACAGCCTGGTACAATTTTAAAAAATGGGTCTGATTAGCTCATGTCTCGATCGGCTCACACTGTATGGTGGGTGAATTTTATGATAACTCATCAGTTTTGATTTGATGAATTATTCACAGTAAGGCGTGTAGCTGACCTGATTTACAGGTGGGTCAGCTCCAGCTCTCATCCTGTCGTTACACTGACTGAAAGTTAGGCTGAGACAGCATTTCCAGCATGGTGACTGCTGCCCATGGGACTCCAAAACCCCCTGCAGTAACAGCTGGCTGACATTACTTAGGCTTCATCCATTCATATTTACAGACTATGAGAACAATGCTAAAGTTACTGCCACAGATGCAAGAAGACTTTGTGTGAAATTGACTTTACAATATTTCTTCATTTTAGACACCTAGGTCCACCTCAGCCAATTTTAATAAACAATCTTTAAGTATCATTAAAGCGCATTTTAAGTAAATATAGTATCCCTCTATCTCTCTCTCTGTTGATTATTAGAATTGCTTCCTGTTAAGTTTCCAAACATTGAATTGACAGGAGAGTTCAAGAATCACTTTTTTAACATTGTCAAGATTAAGAACTTTTCCTTTGACTGTCGTATTATCATTCATAGAAGTTAAATGTAAAACATCATTTGTTGAGAATATCTTTTTACAACTTCATGTTTGTTTTTCCAGATTGCCACCAACAGAAGAATGACGGTGAAGTACAACCCGCCTTCCTCCTGCATCCTTGAGATCAGCGTGAAAGGCATCAAGCTCGCAGTTCAGGAGGATTATTACGCCTGTGACAGAGTGAGACTCTTACCATCTCACTGTCTCTGTTATGTGACAGAAAGGAAGTCTTGTGTAAAATAAAATTAAGTGTATCTTCATGAGGTTTTGTCAAATAAGAGCCTCTCTGCATGTCAGAATCCTACAAAAGATGTGAGGCATGTCGCCCTCATGTGGTGGCATATTGGGTACTGCATGCAAGAGAGTGTTTTCTTCAAGCAGACCACTCAGACATGTACTGTATGCTTCATTTTCCCATGAAGAGGAGGACCTTTTTTGGCTGTTACAACCGGCTGCCTGTAACTTTTGCTTTTTGTTTTTCCTCTCAGAGCAACGAGTGCAATCACTTCTTCCAGCTAAAGAACGTCTCTTTCTGCGGATATCACCCCAAAAACAGCAAGTAAGTGAAAACAGACACCCACAAAAAACATTGTACTGTCTGACTAGAATAAGAAAGTATTTCAAAATGTATTTTTCTTTTTATCTAGGATGAGGGAACAAACAGTAACTGACCACAAGGTGTTGCTAGAAATGACTTAAACATTCCCAATTCTGACCTTTTGACTGCTAACTGTTTAAAGGCATAGTTTGTTGCGGCTTATGAATAAAACATTCAAATTGGGCCCCTCCTCCTGAGCTCACCCCCCCCACAGAAGCACTCACTACTGCATGCTACTACTAAGCCAACCACCATTGTTTCTCACCTGCCTTTTAAACAGAAAGCAGACCAACTCCGCGTCCATACTAAAAAAGCCAACACAAGGTTCATCCCCGCTTTGGAATGTGCGTTTTGCCTCTATGCATTTATTTTCTCTTCTTTGCTGCTACGTCCACGTCTGTTATATTCGCTGGTTTGAATCGCGTTCAATCGCTGAATTGTATCCACCTCTAAATTCATCTGCTCGCTGTCATTGGCCGGTGGGAAGCATATCAGCTCCCTGGCCAGAAACGTCCCGAGCCAACCAAAACAAAACAAAATCACACCACACATGTATGGAGTCCCAGAAGTGACGATTGAGCGGCATTATTTTGCATAAGTCTATATTTTTTGTTTTAAAAAAAAAAAGCTATGGACTCATCTTTAATACGGATTAACTGACTGTATTATTATACAATAGAAAAGAAGTATTCAGTGAAAAAAACATATTTCTGTCTTCAGAGTATCTCATCTTTCTTTCTGTGTCGTCTCTGCAGATATTTTGGTTTCATTACAAAGCATCCAGCAGACCAGAGATTTGCCTGCCATGTGTTTGTGTCTGAAGACTCCACCAAACCTTTAGCAGAGTCAGTAGGGTGAGTTGAACTTCCTTTTGTTAGCGATCATAGACTTCATGCTTCATATGGAGCAGGTTTGTGCATTAATTTAATCTCTGCTGAAAAATATAGAGGCATACAGTACATGCTCCCATTAGGCTTTTTAGTGGGTTGATTTTAATGCATTATGTGAGCTGATCTGGTCGAAGATCACTGCTTTCTTCCTGGCTTTCTTAACTTACTTTGAGGACCAAAGCCTCCACACATGGGGCGCGCGCACTAACCACTGCGCCACCAACCCCCAAGGAGCATCCTTATTTTGACTCTCAAACATCCACTCTAGTTATCATTTTTATTTATTCAATTTTAATAGTTCCTCAACTTGAGAGTCTTGGTTACTTTCACCACACTGCAAACCAGAATCATTCAGATCGTGTAATCTGAAAAACCCTGATAACTACAGATTCTGAATGCTTACTAAAACAATTAGTAATTAGTTTGTTTCTTTGTTGTCGTAGTGACCTGATCAGGTTCTACTGTTGGTTATTCAGTTTAACTTGAACTTGTTGAGGATGAACAAAACACAAGGATCATGAGTTTTCTTTTCTTTTATGCTTTCAGTATGATCTTTAAATGACGGATGTACATGTGTTCATGTCTCTCAGGAAAGCGTTCCAGATTTACTACAAAGAGTTTGTGGAGTTCTCGTGCCCCACAGAGGACATCTACCTGGAATAACCCCGCCCTGCCTTCAACCACAGCCCTGTACAGTACACTGTATCATAACATAATTCTGCATGAAGGACAGATATATCTACAGATTCAATTAAAAAAAAAAAAGACAAACTGAAAAAATTAACACTTCTGACAAACAAGAAAGCAAAGGACGATAAAGTACTGGAACTGTGGTCTGCTCAGAAAGAAGAGAGAGAGAGAGAGAGAGAGAGAGAAAAAATGAGCCAAAGGAGGAGCGTTGTGAGGAAAGAAATTATGCAAAAATGGAGTCAGTGATGAAGTGGTCCAAGGCTGCCTATGGAAAGCACAAACATTGTATCACCACAGCCTCGACAGCGCAAGCGAGCGAGTTAGCCTGTAGCATCGTCTCAGAGAATGAAAGACTGAAAGCCCAGGAGCCGTACCGGACCGAACCAGCCTGTACCTACACTTTATTAAAAGACAAAACAGCAGCTGAGATGTGAAAAAATAACAACATCATTAGTGTTCGTTGACCTTTTAATATCAAAGGTCAACGCACAAGGGAGGTGTATATTTACTAAACAACATCCTCACACTGAAAATGTACACTTAGTAAAACAGATCCATGTAGGAACAGTGGATTGTATCCTAATAGCACACCTGATATGAAGGTGAGATTCTCATTCTCAGTGGAAACAATAACACCCTAAAACACTCCAGCTGCAAGTGATGCTTTTTGCATTTTGGGGTCTCTTGTTGTAAAATCTTAACAATTTCATCAGATACAGCAAAAAATATTGAATATTTGAGGACAATTTTACAGGAAACATCAGGTGTCGGTGTCCTTAAGGCTCCAAACACATGATCTGTGGTACGAGTTGTGCTCACTGCAAGCTGCTGCTCAAAGTATTATACAAAGAAACAGGTGCAGCATAGGTTTGTGGCAATATTAATGCAAACAAAAAGTTCCAAACAGGAGCTTTCAAGTATAAACTTTTTGTTGAATTGTAAAAAGAAAATGTCAATACTTTTTGGAAAATTGCTGAATTAATCAGCTCTGTCTATGATAAACTACATAACTGGTGTATGAAACCTTGAGACAGGCAGACGTGTGGCAAAGTGTGACTTGGTAGGTTGTGCAAAATTTCGAAATCAGCAAAAGCGAACAGATAGAAAGCAGCTCTGAAACTGATCATATGTCGACGTCTTCAGAATAATAGACCCACCAACCTTTCCACAGTCAGACAGGAAAGACTTTAAAGATAGAGACAAGTAACATCTTGTTCCTGAAATGCATTCAGCATCACTTTGTGCTCAACAAAAACCAAACGTTGTGACGCTGAATTGAGAGAACTGAGTGTGGATTTCTCCTTTTAGAACTTTCTGCAGCTTCTTTTGGTACAGTAGTGCTACGCTATACCGCCCCATCACAGTAAAGCCTTAGTTCCCTAATTCTGAGACACACTACGCTTATTCACCGTGTCTAAGTGAAGAAGATGTTGAATATTTAGAGAGAGAAAAAAAAACATCTCTTTGGCTCTTAAAAGGTAAAAGAAGATGCCTGAAATGCAAAGTCTACGCCATGGTGGTGTTCTAGAAACGTGCTCCTCTTGCTTTCCACATTGCGAAACATCAGATGCTCTCAGCGGGGCAGAAAGAAGACGATAAGGCAGATGTTTTTGTTGCAGTAGGTACAGCACAGGGAGCAAAAAGCAAAACTCTGGTGTCTTCATATCTTCACTAGTAGTGCCTCTTCTTCATCACATCATCGTGACCTTCCTCAGTCGCCATCATCACAACATTGAGAGGAGCTGCCATTGAGTGTGTGTTGAGTTTTACGAGTTTGAATGCTAATAGGGATGTAGGAGTATGTTTGGTGTGACCTGTGCTCTTTCCACCACAAGAAGAAAATGCTGTTCCGTACCTGTGGTGCACATTCATATTCGTATTGATGTGCCTGTGAAGCTGTGCAAATGTGGACTCTCAGTAGGAAGCTTAATCAAACAAAGACGGAAAGATAAAAGGAAATAATGTTCCACTTCCTCCGAGATGATTACATGGCTCATCGCTGCCCCCCCATGGAGATAATGCACATTTTCTGTAAATAGACTTTGAGAGTGTACGCATTCACCCTGCAGGAAGTATTAGAAATAATTTCCAGATTACTTTAGTGAACAGCCAAAAAATATACTGCACATTGGTCTACACGTACATGTCCTATAAAAGAGGATAAACTAAAGTTGAAATATTTTGCTAATGGCTTTAACTGTGACAGATTTTAGAGGCTGTTGCAGCACCCGCTTCTCTTCTACTGACTGTGTGCTTTTCAAAATGCATCAATGCTGGATCCTTTATCACGTAATTAGAGATGGGACCGATCTGATTTAATATCTGGTCAGATAGTGACGTAATTTACATGTCATATATCGGACTGACGGAGCCGATCCACGTCACAGATTAAGAAAGATCTTGCTTTAAAGAATAATAAAAAGTCAAATTCTTACACTTCAGTTTAAAATGTTTAATTTGAAAGCCTTACAGTTGTTGCTGCCTCCTGTTTGAATGTGAAGCCAGCAAGATGTTCAAATACATTTATTTGGAAAAATTCTAATCTTTACGCATTAATAAAAAAATGCAATGTGTAGCCTCAAACATAATACCAACAATATGAATAACTATATTAATAATGATTTAAAAGGAATATCGGAATTAGTATTGGTGCACATTGGTTGCACCACCTCAACTACAACCGTCATCTTAGTCAGATGCTTTTTTAGAGCAAGGATGCAATCAACAGAAACAGGAAACCAAAGTTCTGCCACATGTTTGAATCATCCTGGGTGCAGCACAGGTACAGAACATGCTTATGCTTTCCACAGTGGAAAACAAGCAAGAAGTGAGCTTCCCTCATCTTTTGCCCCCAACCCACACACACACACACACACACACACACACACACACACACACACACACACTAATTTCTAACACATTTTTTATGTGCTCTATATTTAACAGAAGAAAAATGTCTGAAAAAGAGAAAATGATCAATGAAGAGTTTGTAAATTGTCATTCAGCCATGTCACCACTCCCCATAGTTTGCTCCTTTCAGTATAAGAATCATGAACATACGAACCAGTTGTCTGCTGTTGCTGATCGAAGCCATCGTGTTTTCATCAAGAGAAAGACCCAACTTTTTTCTATGAGTTCCCCCCTCAGAAGGCCAATCGCCACACAGGACACAATGTAAAGAAGTGGGAACTATACAAAGGGTGTATAGAAATGCCATATATAAATAAATAATTTAATATCTGTAATTATAAATATGACATTGTATTGATTCGACATGTAGTATGTGACATTTCTCTTTTATTTTGGAATTTTTTTAGGTGTGAATTTTTCTTTATTTAAAAACTTTAATGCAGATCTCAGAGTTTCCTGTCGTTATTGCATCTGACATCTCTTGCACACTCACACACACACAGACACACACATGTTTACGTAGCTCAGGTCTTGGCACTGATTCTGTTAGAGTCAAATGAGCCCGCCCATGCTAGTGTCCTACTGCATCCCTAAATCAACGGGGTTAATGTGTAAAATGCACAGTCATTCCCTTCTGCTGAAGTAAAACTTTATAAAGTAAGTAGTAGTAAGATATTATAAAACTGTTAGTCTCAAACAAGAAATCTGATTGGACAAGAGGCATTCCAAGAACTACGATATCCATGGGACTCCTACTGTATGTGTATGTAAGCCAGCAGCTCTGAATACATTTACAGCTTACAGTGTTTTTCTTTATTCATCAATCACATACCTCAGATTTACACAACAGACTCTAATTTCACTGATTTAGTTTTCAAATTAATCTATTTTAACATACAAGTGAAGGTTCATACTACAAAGTAGCTGCTCTGTGGTAACCATGGACACCAACAGAGTAGCAGAGTGCATTATAGAATATAATGTTTGGGTTGCTTGGCAACAGGCTAGTTTCAGTTAAAATATAGAACTAGTTGAGTTGTTGGAGTAAAAAGAAACTTGATGATTTTTATTTTTTCCTACTTTTTCTTACTTGTATTACTGTCAGACAGGAAGATTTTGCAAGATGTTTTGTCCTAATTTTATTCTCACATGCTCATTTTGTCATGTCAGTTTCTTAATATTGTATCAGAATCTGTTGTGTTTTTGTTAGTAATATTCATCCTCCAGGTTTGGTTCATAAGGATTTCCAGTGCCCGGTGGCGGAGGAGGCAGAGGAATCTCACCATAATCTGCAGAAACACATTAAACATATTGAGGATGAAAGTATCCAAGAAAGGTTTGTGCTGAACCAATTAAGACATTATTCACTCTATTTTCTTACCAAGTTGGGTTCTGTACAGTGTCCTAGATTTTAAGACACTTGATATTCCGTTATTAAAAGCTCAGTTTTATTATGGTTTGCTTAATAATCTCAATAAATTGATATATTGGTACCTTACCGTCAGTGTAGGTTTCATGCTGTTTGAGGAGGTCAGGGTCAAAAATCAGTTTTAACTCTGCTGTACCATCATCAGCTCTCCTAGAGGGACACACAACAAAGCTGTGTGATCATTTTGCTGGAGGATTTTTAAATGATTTCATTGTAAAAGAGATGAACATACTAGCTCTAGTCTAGATGAGATATTCTGAAGAATCTTTGTATACTGATCAGCAAATACAGAAGATAAAATAGACCTGTCAGAGCAGTCTTATTACATCGTCAAATATTTCTTAAGTTTTTGTTGATGAATATAAAGCTTTAAGTCCGAACACACCAAACCTTACTAAACCACCAACACACTGATATGGATAATTGACCATCACGTGGCGGCCATTTTTATCTGTCTCAGGATCTGAAACAAAGCCAACCCCATGTGTTCCAGGTTTCCTCCGTAAATGTTGGGAATCTTTGTCGTCATATTTATGATTGCATTGCCTCTTCACTGAACAACAACTCAAAAGTTTAAGGTAGAGTGAAAATGGCCTATATCAAGTTAATGTGCCAACGTCTTTTTTTCAATTGACGTGACAGGGTTTGCTTGGCGTCAAAGGAAAATTACCCCTTTGGGAACTTGAAGAACACTGTATGAAGATGCTTTTTCAGATCGGTAATACAATCGTAATACTTCAATAGAATATCCTTATATTGAGTGAAATTTTTAGCGTTGAGAACAGGAAAAACATGAATGGCCATTTTTCAGCAAAACCCTGGGTAACACGAGCTGACAAGTAGACATCCATCCTTGTCTATTTAGATAAGAACAAGAAATAATTCAAATGTAAATAGACTTTAAATTGTTTTTGTGGAAATGCAGATTTCAGTGGAAGAGGCAAAACTCACGTCACCTTGTCACAAGTCATAAAAAAGGACAGCATGAGTGTAAAGGTAACATACCTGCTCAGCACAGATGCAGAAACGCCTCGACCAATCACAAGAGAGATAGCGATGATAAGGACAAGCATCTGTTTAGTTATCATGTCTGGCTGCATTGTGAACAGAAAAACCTTTGTGTGAGGAACAGATTCAAATCACAACAAAGTCATGTTCTTTTGGAATTACTTTTGACATTTGTTAGTTTACAAAACACAAAAAAACAACTATTTCTAAAAACGAGCTGCAAGAAATATAGCTGTATTACACTATGTCATCATTATCATCATGGGAGGTCACTTGGGGTCTTCAAGTGGGTGAAAAAAATAAATTCTTGTGCCACGTATTTTATAGAAGATATGTTCCAATATGGCGCTCCCCTGTGGGCGACATAGCGTAGCGCTCCGAGTCAAGTTTTAGGTAGTTTTCGCGGTACGTTAGGGCTAGTGTCAAGTATGATCGGGCGACGGGGGTTTGCCTGGCACCCCAAGACCGACACGGAGACGAGGCGCTGAGCGAAGACTCCGACACCTGATTAGCAAGGGTAGGCTAACCCTCCCGGTTATACTTCACGCCAAGTGGGCTCATGCTCTGTTCAGATGGAAGAACTCGGGTGTCATGATAATGCGCTAGGAGGATTCACTTCAGTGTCTTTAGCGGTAGGCGTGGTTGGTAGGAGGAGAAGCAGGGTCAGTACTGATGACACACCTGAGGGGGGGGGGTGTGGTGGCTCTGTCTCTGTAACCTTCATGAGCAGCACCTGCGGAGGAGCCGGCGGAAATTGGTTTTGAGTCGAAGAGACGCCACGAGGAAGACACGAGGACACAAGACACCTGAGAGACTGAATCTGAAGTAACATTTGTTTTTGTTTCAACACTTTTTTTTTTTTACACATGAACTAAACTGATATGAAAGAGAGGGCTGGCGGAGGAGATCGTACCCAGGTGACTCCGTGGATCGGGCTGTCCGAGTGAGCTGGTCGCGGCACGTACGAGGATCTTGGCTACCGCAACAGCTTTTTCCCTGCTGCTTTCCTTTTCACCCCACACCTCACAGACTAAATGGACAGCTGACCACCTCACAAGTGTGCAACATTAACCTTAAATACAAAAAACAGTGCAATTATATAATGTGAAAAATATGTGTGCAATAACCTCAGGTGCAATAAGAGATGTAGAAAGTTAGAGACAAGAAAACATATTTATATTTTCATTTCATTGTACAGTGTTCCCCTTGGTTATTTTTTTGTATTCTATCTTTGCTTTAATACAGTGTATAACTTCTGTACAGTTTATTTCAATTTACTTTGTTACTACAACTTGTTTATTTTTTTATTTTATTTATACTTTTCTACTCTTTTTTTCCTATAATACTATTCTATTTTATATATAATTTTAACTTTTTTGTAGAAGCTGACTCAGGGAGAAACACACACAAAATCCAATGTACCTGTACTGTCCTGTACCTGTGCAAATGGCAATAAACATCTATTCTATTCTATTCTATTTTGGTGTTTTGTTTGGTGTTGTTTGGTCTATTTTGGGCCTAGTTTGGAGGATCTCTTATTTCTCTGTCTGAACTGATTAAACCAGGAAAAAAATCTCTAAATTTGAGATGTTAAAAGTCTTACAATTATTTTTCTGCTGTGTCTGAAGAACCTTAACGACAAACACAAGTGTTGCAAGTATGCCCAGCTCACCCGTGGGTGGTCCCTCCCTTGGGCCTGGCATGAATCACAAAGCAGCCACCTGTGTCATTCAGCTGACCTCAGATCAGCTTGGACCTGTCTGACTGAAGGCGATGATGCATTATTCATAGACTGCCACCATCTGGCACATCAGCGCACCCTGCAACCTCAGCCCTCACCCTGTCAGAGACACGCAGGCAAGAAGAGGGCAGTTCATCATCAGAGCAGTCCTGTCTTTAGTGCCAACATAAGAGATAGAAAGGTTTAAAAAAAATGTAATTCCAACATTTTTTGTTAAGATGCCGTTCCAGTCTTGGGAACTGTAACTTACATCACAGACTGACTCACAGGAAAGATTTAATACACAGTATGGAGCAGATTTCCTGCTTGGTGAGCTAACATTATATGACAGAAAAAAGAAAAAGAATATGCAGTGCAGTTTAGGCTTTTACCACTAGAGGGGGCGAGGGTCAAGTCTACATTCTTTACATAACTATCCACACAGAAGACGTCACTACAACTGATAGAAAAATCAACGTGTAGTGTCTTAGTAAAGTGTGTCGACCAAAATAGGTTAAAGCAGCTTCAAATTGATTTTATGTGCGTCAGAATCAGATTTATTGTGAGGTAGGTTTTCACACACATGGAATTTGTCTTTTTGTGTGTTATAGTTGGAGCTTTTTGATCATCAATAATTGGACAAGAATATCAACAGTACTCCTACTGTCGAGAACTACAATAAATAGAAAAAATACAAATATAAAAGATACCTTTTAGATGTATGTTTAATAAAGGTGTGTGGTTTAAAAAAGGGGGGTAAGGTTTTTTTTCAGAAATGTGCAAGGTGTTGCAAAGGAAGTGTACAAAACTGATTGAACTGCATGGACAATGTTTAGAGATTTAGAATGTAACGCATGGAGGCAGACATGGTGACTTTTTTTGACAAGACAATTGAAGTCACCAGCCACATTTATTTATAAAGCATATTTAATTACAGCAGGTTGATGTACTACCTTCAGGGAGACAATCAAAATTGCAATAAAATCCCAATAAAATACTAAGAGCGTCCACATAAACACTCATACTCAAACACTCACTTCAACTTCAACTCCATCTTTAATGTCCCCAAGGGAAGATTTGTTTTGAATAGGATGTGTAATAAAAACTATCATCTGCAGGGATAAAACCAAAAACAGCTTAATGTGCAAGATGATTGCAAAGAGAATATAAACAGGAAGAGTCAAGGTCAACTTGAATTAAAGTTCATACAATAATATATTTGAAAAATAGAAAGCACATCCTAATCTTTAAGTATTGGGTGCTGGACAGAAATACAAAAGCAAACGG